GACTTTTTTCTTTTTTTTTTTTTTTTTTTGAGACGGAGTTTCGCTCTTGTTACCCAGGCTGGAGTGCAATGGCGCGATCTCGGCTCACCACAACCTCCGCCTCCTGGGTTCAGGCAATTCTCCTGCCTCAGCCTCCTGAGTAGCTGGGACTACAGGCACGCGCCACCATGCCCAGCTAATTTTTTGTAGTTTTAGTAGAGACGGGGTTTCACCATGTTGACCAGGATGGTCTCGATCTCTTGACCTCGTGATCCACCCGCCTCGGCCTCCCAAAGTGCTGGGATTACAGGCTTGAGCCACCGCGCCCGGCCATACCCATGACTTTTTAAAAAAAATTTCGTTAAATAAATTTGATTGTGTATGTGTGTTTAAAGCATACAGCATAATGTTGTAGGATACACATAGATAGTAATATGGTTATTATAGTGAGGCTAATTAAACTATCAATCATCTCATGCAGTTACCCATTTGTGTGTGTGTTTATATGTGTGTCACGAGGAGCTAAAATCTCATTTAGGAGAACTCCCAAATAAAGTACAATTTTATTAACTATAGACTTCATGTTGTACATTAACTAGATTTGTTCATCCTATGCATCTGCTACTTTGTAACCTCTAACCTTCATGTCTCCATTTCCTCCCTCCTCCCAACCCCTTGCCCTTCCCCTGGTAACCACAACCACAATTTTATTCTCTATCTCTGCATATTTGGCTTTTTTTTCTAAGATTCCACACGTAAGTGAGATTTTCAGTGGCGGAGGGTGTCAATGCCTAAAGGGTCGAAGACCAGGAGCAATGACTGGATTACAGAATGAAAAGGATTTCGTGAACAATTGGCTTCCAAAAGAAAAAGGAGGGCGGGGGGGGGGGGGGGGGTGGTAGCTCACACTTGTAATCCCAGCACTCTGTGAGGCTGAGGCAGGTGGGGCGGATCACGAAGTCAGGAGTTCAAGACCAGCCCAACCAATATGGAGAAACCCCATCTATACTAAAAATACAAAATTAGCCGGGCGTGGTGGCGCATGCCTGTAATCCCAGCTACTCAGGAGACTGAGGCAGGAGAATCACTTGAACCCGGGAGGTAGAGGTTGTGGTGAGCAAAGATCACACAATTGTACTCCAGTTGGGGTGACAAGAGTAAAAGAAGTCCAGGGGTCTCGTCCCCACTGCTCTGTGTCCTGTTCTCCTAGACGCCCAGCTTGTGTGGCCCTGTGACCTGCAGGTGTTGGAGATCCACAGCTACGACGCCAAGATCCCTTGGAAGCCTAGAAATGGAACCGCTGACATTTGGGGATGTGGCCATAGAATTCTCTCTGGAGGAGTGGAAATGCCTGAACCCTGCACAGCGGAATTTATATAGGAATGTGATGTTAGAGAACTGCAGAAACCTGGCCTTCCTGGGCAGACAAGCAACCTCATCAAGCAGTTCCCTGACACCACAGCCAGGTAAATCCACAAAGATGGGAAAAAAACAGCACAAAAAAGATGAAACCATCAAAGACCAGAACACCTCTTCTCCTTCAAGGCATCACAACTCCTCAACAACACAGGATCTCAACTTGATCGAGGAGTGTGATGAATGGACAGAAACAGGCTTCAGAAGGTGGCTAATGACAAACATTTCTGAGCTAAAGGAATATGTTCTAACTCAAAGCAAAGCAATCAAAAACCTTGAAAAGAAGTTAGACAAAATGCTAATTGGAATAACCAGCATAGAGAAGAACATAAATGACTTGATGGAGTTCAAAAACACAGCACAAGAGCTACATGAAGTAAAAACAAGTTTTAATAGCCAGATTGATCAAGGAGAAGAAAGGATATCAGTGATTGAAGATCAATTCAATGAAATAAAAAGAGAAAGCAAGACGGGGGAAAAAAGAGTGAAAAGAAATGAACAAAGCCTCCAAGAATTATGGGATTATGTGAAAAGACCTAATCTACGCTTGATCGGTGTACCTGAATACGATGGGGAGAATGAATCCAAGCTGGAAAACATGTTCCAGGATATTATCCAGGAAAACTTCCCAAGCCTAGCAAGGCAGTCCAAATTTCAAATTCAAGAAATACAGAGAACTCCCCAAAGATATTCTTCAAGAAGAGCAACCCCAAGGCACATAATCGTCAGATTCACCAGGGTTGAAATGAAGGAAAAAATGCTAAGGGCAGCCAGAGAGAAAGGCCAGGTCACCCACAGAGGGAAGCCTATCAGACTCACATCAGATCTCTCTGCAGAAACCCTACAAGCCAGAAGAGAGTGGGCACCAATATTCAACATCCTTAAAGAAAAGAACTTTCAACCCAGAATCTCATATCCAGCCAAACTAAGCTTCGTAAGTGAAGGAGAAATAAAATCCTTTACGGACAAGGAATTATTGAGAGATTTTGTCACCACCAGACCTGCCCTGCAAGAGCTCCTGAAAGAAACACTAAGCATGGAAAGGAACAAGTACCACTGCAAAAGCAAACCAGTTGGCAAAGACCAAAAATGCAATGAGGAAAATGAGGCAACGAATGGGAAAGAAAACCAGTCAGTAACAAAATGGCAGAATCAAATCCACACATAACAATATTAACATTGAATGTAAATGGCCTAAACGCTCCAATCAAAAGACATAGACTGGCAAACTGGATTAAAAAGTCAGAACCCATCTGTGTGCTGTATTCAGGAAACCCATCTCACATACAAAGACACACATAGACTCAAAATAAAGGGATAGAAGATTTACCAAGCAAATGGAGAACAAAAAAAAGCAGGAGTTGTAATTGTAGTCTCTGATAAAATGGACTTCAACAAAGATCAAAAGAGACAAAGAAGGACACTATATAATGGTAAAAGGATCAATCCAACAGGAAGAGCCAAGTATCCTAAATACATACGCCCCCAACACAGGAGCACCCAGATACATAAAGCAAGCTCTTTTTTTTTTTTTTAAAGAAGAAAGAAAGAAAGAAAAAAGAATAAAAAAAAAAAATGAAGGAGAGGAAGAGGGAGTGAGAATGGCAGTGTTGCTTTATTGCCCAGGCTAGAATGCAGTCTAAAAATGGGTATGCCTATAATTGTGCTTAATAATAGAGACATGAAAAAAAAATGAGGGAAGAAAATAACAAACAAGCAGCCAACCAATATTTCATTTAAACCTGTATATAGGTGTGATGTGATACTGATAAGAATGTATATTTTGTGTATTTAAAGTGGAGAGTTCTATAAATGTTAATTAAGTTAAAAAAAAAAAAAAAGAAGTCCATCTTAAAGAGAAAAAAAAAAAAAAAAAAAAAAGGAAGAAATCCAAGAAGACATCAACACTTCCACCTTTTGTCTTCAGGTCTTGACAGGGGTCTGCTATTCCACCCTTAACTTAGGTGAGTCTGTTTGCAGCAGTGAATCTGAATCCGTTTGGGTCTGCAGCAACCTCAATTCTTGCCTCCCCAGAACAAAGAATTTGACCAAGGGGCATAAGGCAGATGGATAGATTGAGGCAGGTTTTAAAGCAGGAGTGAAAGTTTATTAAAAAGCTTTAGAGCAGGAACAAAAAGAAGTAAAGCATACTCGGAAGAGGGCCAAGCAGGTAACTCGAGAGATCAAGTGTGTAGTTTGACCTTCGACTTGGGGTCTTATACACTGGCATCTGCATGCACAGTGACCTGCCAGCACTTGAAAGAAGCCGCTTATGCACTGTGTTTATTGGAGTTGCATGCATGCTCACTTGAGGCATACTTCCCTAACCAGTTGAGTGTTTCTAGAAGGTCTTATGCCACTTGAACTCTGCCATTTTGCTGCTAAGTAAGCATGCATGAACCCATTCGCCCAACTCCACTGGGAAGCTGCTGATCACCAGTTTCAGAAGTCTCTATCTATTGGGAGATTGCCTTTCCCTGGCGTTGGCTGCAACAAATTGTTAATTTTAGAGAGGCAGTTTAACAGCTGTCTGATCATCACCTGATGGTTACCAGACATTTCTGGTGAAGGAGGGGGGGACTCTCCTGTCCTGCTCATGTCTGCCTGGCTACCTACTGTAACAAGCCTTGGCTCCAGGTCATTTGGGCTTCTCAAGGACGAAAACCAGAGTTTGCTTTGGCAAATGTCTCCATGGTACAAGTCAACTTCTTCTTTGACCTTTTTATGTTTCTGCTTTCACTTACATTTTAGCCCCTGAAAAATCCTAACTTCCTCATCAATCTATTGAAGTCTTCCCTATTAAATGTCATTTTGTATTATACTTTATCCAATACTTTTATGCATTTTCACTGTGAGTAGGCCAAGAAAAATGGCTTGCTGACTGGTAGTTTTATTTACTGTTCATTTGGAATTTTGCTCTTTGCATTTCAAAAATGTTTTCTTTATTTAGTGTGTTAAAGCAAACTAAATATGGCCTGAGAAGGACTCCACACATTTTTTTTTTTTTTTGAGACAGAGTTTCGCTCTTATTGCTCAGGCTGGAGTGCAAAGGCCTGATCTCAACTCACCACAACTTCTGCCTCCCAGGTTCAAGATTCTCCTGTCTCAGCATCCTGAGTAGCTGGGATTACAGGCATGTGCCACCATGCCTGGCTAATTTTGTATTTTTAGTAGAGATGGGGTTTCTCCAAGTTGGTCAGGCTGGTCTCAAACTCCCAACCTCAGGTGGTCCACCCTCCTTGGCCTACCAAAGTGCTGGGATTCCAGGCATGTGCCACCACATCTGGCTAATTTTGTATTTTTAGTAGAGATGAGGTTTCTCCATGTTGGTCAGGCTGGTCTTAAACTCCCAACCTCAGGTGGTTTGCCTGCCTTGGCCTCCCAAAGTGCTGGGATTACAGGTGTGAGCCACTACACCCTGCCAGGAAGGACTCTATACTTTTATATTTGAGTCCTTGTGGATGAACTCAATAGGTAGGGTGAACTCAATACCTAACTTAATAGGTAGGCAAGATTGAAAACCTAACTTAGGAGTATGTGCCTGTAACAATCACTGAGTCTTGGCCAATCCCAGCAGCCATACTTCAACGAGTCATATACTGCTGAGTGTTCAAATATGGCAAATGCTGAGCTGTAACCAATCCAGCTGTTTCTGTAGCTCACTTCCAATTTCCATACATCACATTACATTTTTGTCTATAAATTTGTTCTGACCACGAGGCAAGCCTCGTGGTCATTTATTTTTGATATAAATGTACATGACACGTCTTGACAATCAGCCCACCCACCACCACACGGGTAAGGCCTGGCCCCCAGGGAAGAGGCCGGATGGGGAGAGAGCTGGTGGGTGCCACCATCTGCCTCTCCAGCCTTCCCAGGCTGCGCAGCCAGGTTCCCAGGCCTCCAGAGGGTGGGACCACAACAGGTGCAGGTAGTGATGATGGGTGCTGGCCTCGCAAGGGTTATGGGGAGAGGACTCAGCTCCACAGCCACCAGCTGAGTCAGGGACCCCGGGGAGCCAGCCCCAGGCTCAGGTGCTCAGTCCTCTGCCCTGGCCAGCACACGTTCCCCCTCCACACAGGAGCAGGAGAAGATGGAGGGAAGTGGTTTTCAATTGAAGTTCATAAAGAGGCGACAGTGGGGAGGGATCAGGGAGGCAGAGGGCAGGACCACAGCTGGTTACTTGGGCAGCCCCTGGCTCCAGGTGGGGAAGAGAAGCTGACCCCCACGCTGGTCCCACTGCTCTGGTCCCCTCACCCCTCAAAACTCCAGATGAACCAGGCCTCCGGAACGGCACTGCCGCTCGCACACTCACAAGCAGGCACGCAGGGACACTCAGTTACCACAAAGTTAAAATTAAGGGGTGGGAAAGAAGAAAAGAAAAAAAAAGACTTTCCAGTGTTTGCTGCTGGGGACCCCAGCACACAGGTTGGGGCCTGTGCTCTAGGCAGGGGCCATTTGGCATTAAAGGGAGAGCAGCAAGGGGCTGGTGGCTACAGGGCAGGGGCATCCACAGATGTCCTCTTTGTGGAGAAAGAGAAAGAGCCAAACAACGAGAAAACCAATAACGGCATCCACTATAAACTTCAGTTATCGTACAGCAACGGAGTCAGGACAGAGCAAGATCTGTATGTTCGCCTCATAGATTCAATGACCAAACAGGCCATCGTATACGAGGGCCAGGACAAGAACCCCGAGATGTGCCGTGTGCTGCTGACCCACAAGATCATGTGCAGCTGGTGCTGTGACAAGAAAAGTCGTGGCAATAGAAACGAAATGCCCTCAGACCCTGTAATCATGGACAGATTCTTTCTAAAGTTTTTCCTCAAGTGCAATCATAACTGTTTGAAGAATGCCAGCAACCCTCGAGATATGTGGAGATTCCAGGTTGTTGTATCGACAACAGTCAACGTGGATGGCCACGTGCTGGCCATGTCAGACAACATGTTTGTGCACAACGATTCCAAACACGGGAGGCAGGCCTGCCGCCTAGACTCGTCAGAAGCCACTCCGTGCATCAAGGCCATCAGTCCCAGTGAAGGCTGGACCAGGGGGGATGCCACTGTCATCAGAAATGGCGACAACTTCTTTGACGGGCTGCAAGTTGTGTTCGGCACTATGTTGGTGTGGAGTGAGCTGACAACTCCCCATGCCATCCGAGTCCAGATCCCGCCGAGGCACATTCCTGGCGTAATCGAAGTGACCCTCTCCTACAAATCCAAGCAGTTCTGCAAAGGGGCTCCTGGGCGCTTTGTCTACACCACCCTTAATGAACCAAACATAGATTACGGCTATCAGAGGTTGCAGAACGTGATCCCAAGACATCCGGGTGATCCTGAAAGGTTACTCAAGGAGGTGTTACTGAAGAGGGCGGCGGACCTGGTAGAAGCCTTATACGGAATGCCTCACAACAACCAGGAGATCATCTTGAAGCGAGCAGCGGACATCGCCGAGGCGCTGTACAGCGTTCCCCGCAATCACAACCAGATACCCACCCTGGGCAACACCCCTGCGCACACGGGCATGATGGGCGTCAACTCCTTCAGCAGCCAGCTAGCCGTCAACGTGTCGGAGACATCACAAGCCAATGACCAAGTCGGCTACAGTCGCAACACAAGCAGCATGTCCCCACGAGGCTACGTCCCCAGCAGTACTCCCCAGCAGTCCAATTACAACACAGTCAGCACTAACATAAAACAAACAAACAAACAAAAAAACAGATATATGCTATAAAATATGTGAACTTAGAAGAAGCAGATAACCAAACTCTTGATAGTTACCAGAACGAAATAGCTTATTTGAATAAACTACAACAACACAGTGATAAGATCATCCGGCTTTATGATTATGAAATCACAAACCAGTACATCTACATGGTAATGGAGTGTGGAAATAATGATCTTAATAGTTGGCTTAAAAAGAAAAAAATCCATTGACCCATGGGAATGCAAGAGTTACTGGAAAAATATGTTAGAGGCAGTTCACACAATCCATCAACATGGCATTGTTCACAGTGATCTTAAACCAGATAACTTTCTGATAGTGGATGGAATGTTAAAGCTAATTGATTTTGGGATCACAAACCAAATGCAACAAGTATTGTTAAAGATTCTCAGGTTGGCACAGCTAATTATATGCCACCAGAAGCAATCAAAGATATGTCTTTTTTCAGAGAGAATGGGAAATCTAAGTCAAAGATAAGACCCAAAAGTGATGTTTGGTCCTTAGGATGTATTTTGTACTATATGACCTATGGGAAGACACCATTTCAGCATATAATTAATCAGATTTCTAAATTGCATGTCATAATTGATCCTAATCAAGAAATTGAATTTCCTGATACTCCAGAGATAGATCTTCAAGATGTGTTAAAGTGTTGTTTAATAAGGGACCCTAAACAGAGGATATCCATTTCTGAGCTCCTGGCTCATCCATATGTTCAAATTCAAACTCATCCAGGTTAACAAATAGCCAAGGGAACCACTGAAGAAATGAAATACGTTCTTGGCCAGCTTGTTGGTCTGAATTCTCCTAACTCTATTTTGAAAGCTGCTAAAACTTTATATGAACACTGTAGTGGTGGTGAAAGTCATAATTCTTCATCATCCAAGACTTTTGAAAAAAAGTGGGGAAAAAATGATTTGTAATTACTGGTAAAATGTTAAATACCACCTATAAAATATATTGGATTGTTACACTCTTGAGTCCCTGTGGAAATCTACAGGGAGATTTCCCTGTAGATTGAAGACAACATCACTCTGAAGCGTTATCAGCAAAAAAAATTCAGCAGATTATTTTCAAAAGAGAACTGTAAAAATAGCAACCACTTACAGCACTGTATATATTGTAGAATGGTTTTCTCTGTTTTATGCGCTTGTGTAATCTGTTTGATATCATTTCACTCTTGGAATAGTGGATGTATAACAAATATATTCCGAAAAACTTTTTTGTGGCATAAAATCACACACACACACACACACACACACACACACACACACAGAGTAATTCCATTTTAAATAGGGGCTTAAAAAAATAATGCTAAGACCTACTGGGCTACATTCCCAGTAAGTTAAGGCATTCTTAGTCACAGGATGAGACAGGAGGTCAGCACAAAATATAGGTCATAAAGACCTTGCTGATAAAACAGTTTGCAGAAAAGAACCCTGTTAAATCCCACCAAAACCAAGATGGCGATGAGAGTGACCTCTAGTCGTTCTCACTGCTACACTCCCACCAGCACCATGGCACTTTACAAATGCCATGGCCATGTCAGGAAGTTACCTTATATGGTCTAAAAAGGGAAGGCATGAATGATCCACCCTTTGCTTAGCATATAATCAAGAAATAACCATAAAAAATGGGCAACCAGCAGCCTTTGGGGCTGTTCTGTCTATGGAGTAGCCATTCTCTATTCCTTTATTTTCTTTGAATCTCTTTGGATTTGGGCTAGAAGTCCAAGGCACTATCCATTGCACCACAGAGCCTTCTTGCTATTTCTTTACTTCCTTAATAAACTTGCTTTCACTTTACCATATGGATTTGCCTCGAATTCTTTCTTGTGTGAGATCCAGGAACCCTCTCTGGAGTCTTGATCGGTACCCCTTTCCAGTAACAGTACTATTATTATCCTTATATTACAGTTGAAGAAATGGAAGTTCCAAGAAGCTAAGGGGCTTTGGTTTATAGATAGAGGAAAGGACAGATTGAAGGTCAGGCTGTCAGGTGGCACAGCAAATGTTTAACTAGGAAGATATGCAGCCATGCATCTCTGGGGTCAGCATACACTTGTGTCTCTTGGTTTGGTTCCGGGTTTGCTGTTGTTTTTGGCAGCTGGATGGGCACTAAGGACACCCTTGTCAATTGAACCCTATGTTATCGTCCATAAGAGGAAATAAATGTGTGGTTTGTGCTCCACAATTAGAAGTGGCAGAAATGAGATCAGAAGCCTCATCTTCCAACACTTATCAAGTGTCTATCAACCAAACTACACGGCTTCCTTAATCCTCAAGTCAGACATTTTGTTGGCATTTTATACACTATCTGAGCAAACTGATATGGGAGATATATAGATCGTATTATTTATATAGAAATCCAGCAAGTTGAAAATTGTTCTCACCGTAGGTCAGTTATTGTAACATTTATAATGTACAACAAGCAATAAAACAAGACAATACAAAACAAAGTAATCTGAACAGCATGAACCCTGAAAGAAGTAACAGATGTCCAGTTAGTCTATTATAATGCCACCATTATTAGAGCCACTCTACCTTTCTAATATGCCAGAGGGCCATGTGAACTAACAGGTTCAGCAAGGAAAAAAAATGTTTTAAGTCTAAGTAAAAAACTTCCTCCATCTGCTAAGGCATACTGATCTTCTGTGAACAGGTACAATAAAATATAATATAAATAAAAACCAAGGCTTCCCTGAATGAGAATGCAAATTATCACCTCCCATACTTAGCTCATCTCACCAGTCTCTTGTGTCTCAGGCACCAGCAAGCCACATGTTCGTCCCTTCCAACAAGGCTACGCAGGAGGGCATGCCTCTGGATGATCTTGACCCACCTAGATTTCTTACAGAATGCAGTGAGAATATGACATCTGGAGATAAGCGTTGCAGGCTATGTTCTGCAGCACTTGAGCTCAGCAAACCCTGTGGCACCCAGGATATGAAAGCCCAGGGTGGAGTGCTTTCAGTGTCCTTAGCTGTAGTGTGACATGGGGTCTGTGCAGACGAGACTCCACCCACCCTGGGCAGCTTTCGTAAGCTCCGGAGGACCAGCTTGTCATGGATCCTAGGCTTTGGTTTATTCTTGATACTTATCTGTGAGTAATACATCTGTTTGCCTAATGTGGTTGTATGAGTGTTCTCTCTTGCCAGACTCATACAAGTGGTAGAGAACCTTTGCAGGCTAACACTTATTAATAAGAATGAAGATCAGGCCTTGAAACAGATTCAAATCAGGGCACGCTACCTCTGAGACTAGGGTACTCAGATGTTCTAGCTAAGTAAGTACTCCACTTACTTGAGGTTCCACAAGGAAGGAAACCTGCCATGCTCACCTTTGTCTGCCTAATACCTAGCACAGCCCTAATGCATACTGAAGGACAATAACTATCATTGGAATGCTATCACAGCTAGATAATAAAGGACGCAATGAGTTAATGGATGTCATGGTGACTAAAAATCAGGGATAGAATGGTTCACACACAACATATTCCTCCTGTAGTCACAGACAATGTCTGTGTGGAAACACCAGAAGATTTCAGTTCATCTCAAACTCCAGATAAGCCACTAGTGAGATATGGCTGGTAAAAATGATGGCATAACCTTAAGATTGACTTAACAAAACTATGGTGCTCAGAAGAAAGAAGGTTAATAGGGGAGTCTCCACTGCTGTGTCACTTTCAGGCATTCTAAATATTGTGCTCAATCTAATGGGAGCTGGTCCTTCTTTTGTCCTTTCTCTTCACATTGTTTTTCTTATACTTCGAAGAAGACTTTCCATCCCATCTTTTATCTCTCTACCATCCTTGGAGCTCTTTCTGGTTCCACAATACCAGTCCCCACAATCAACTTATTTCTGTTTCCCCTGGAATCCCTATTACAATGTTATTGCAATTACATTTTGCCTAATATTTTAGCTATTTATATACACATCTTCTTTAACATTGCAAAGCACTGCTCAAAGGAAAGCGATTTTCATTATCTTTTGTTAGATTTGCTCCACGTGTGTTTTATATTACTTCTCTTTGCATCATTAGATTGTAACCTCTGCATTTATTTGTAAATTACACATTGCCCTAGCTAGTTGTTCTGAACAAAGAACAAATGTTGCTGATCTGGTGATCTATAAGCCAAACTAAGAGGAAGCTTACATGCTAGGAAGGAACAAGAACATACACTCCAAGCCAGGAGTGAGGTTTTGAAACATCCCTTAGTACATAGCTACACACATATATTTTCTGGTTACCTTATTTTCATGTCCACAGCTCAGTAAGTAACTCAGGATATAAACAGATAATTCCCAGGAGAGGGAATTAAAATGGCGAATAAACATAGGCAAAGATGTTCCATCTCAGTGGTTAAGAAGGGAAATTTAAATTAAACAAAATGAGATGCCGTCATTTGCCCATCACATTGGCAAAAACTGTGTCATTACATTTATATTAGTAAAAATCAGAGATAACTGAAATATCTGTCAAAAGTAAGATGCTGAAATAAATTACATCCATGCTGTGTATACTATGTAGCCTTCACAATGAAATATATCCATTTGGGTATATATATGGAAAAATGATTATGACATACAGTATTGTCAAATTTTTATAAAGCAAGTTGCAAAGCAGTGTGTTAAAAGTCTTGTATTTTGAGTGGAAAAACCCATATGTTCTATGTTTCTATGTTCATATAAATACATATTCAAATTACTATATAATTGTAGGAGCAAAGACACAAACGAAAACAACGGTCTGAAAAGAAAAACACTCAAGTGCTAAATGTGGTTACCCCTAGGGAGTAAAACAGAAAGGATTTTTTCTTTTTACTTTAGGTACTTCTGTGCATTGTTTAAGTTTTTTCAATGCTAAATTAATATTTTTGACTTTCTTTTAAATGAAAAATAAAACCAACAAAATGTGTGGACATAAAAATAGTTATAAAATGTTTACTTTAGAAAACAGTGATCCAACTTCAGGAACTGCATGCATGAATAGTCTAAGTATTCTTCAGAACTCTATGCTCACAAAATTATTCACACATATTTGTGTCAGTTACAGAAATGTGAAGCCCTATGTGGTAGTATAGGAGAGTCTAGCCTAGACTATGTAGCTATCACAATGAAGCATATCCAGTTGTGTATATATCTATGGAAAAATGACTATGACATATTGTCAACTTTTTTTAAAAAGCAACAACACTTCTAGCCTAGAAGAATTGTTTCCACATTGTAGATGAGGCAAGAGAGAAACCAAAAGAAAACAAAACATTTAACACTTTATGTAAATTGACAACCCAGGGACAGGGCCCTCAGACACAATTTACCTGATTATTATTTTATGCTAGGGACCAGAAATTCAAAATGCAAGTACCAGAAAAAAAGAAGCCAGCCAGAAATAAAACAATAAAGACCAGAAGTACTGTACAGAGTTCAAATTCTGCCTAAAGGAAGCAGCCATGTCATTATTCCTGCTGAGAGGATGGGTCTGGTATTACCAGATCATTCAATGTTTCAAGAGAAACCAGGAATTAGGATTTTTTTTTTTTTTGAGACAGCATCTCTGTCACCCAGGCTGGAGTACAGTGGCGTGATCTCAGCTCACTGCAACCTCTGCTGCCTGGGTTCAGATGATTTTCCTGCCTCAGCCTCCTGAGTAGCTGGGATTACAGGTGCAAGCCACCACGCCCAGCTAATTTTTGTAGTTTTAGTAGAGACGGGGTTTCACCATCTTGGCCAGGCTGGTCTTGAATTCCTGACCTTGTGATCCACCCACCTCGATCTCCCAAAATGCTTGGATTACAGGCATGAGCTAGCACACCCAGCCAGGGATTAGAACTTTTGTATCAATACTCTCAGGTTTTAAATTTTAGCAACCAATTTTTTAAAATCCTAAATGCTGTGTTGATAAACACTGTGAAAGCCAAATAAAACTTATCTCCCAGCTGGATTTCGCCTGCAGCCTCCTGTTTGCCATTTTGGGGTTTTCCCATCCTTGCAGCTAGAATTAGTGGACAAATTCTAACACAACAGCTCCCAACATTTTTGGCACCAGGGACCACTTTTGTGGAAGACAATTTTTCCATGGCGGTGGGAGATGGTTTCCGAATGAAACTATTGACCTCAAATCAGTCATTAGATTCCCATAAGGAGCACACAGCCTAGATCCCTTGTATGTGCAGTTCACAATAGGGTTTGCGCTTCTATGAGAATCTAATGCTGCAGCTGATCTGACAGGAATGGGAGCTCAGGTGGTAATGGCTTGCGCTGCCACCTCCGGCTGTGCTGCCCGGTTCCTGACAGGCCCAGAGCGAGTGATGGTCTGCAGCCCAGGGATTGCAGACCCCTATTTTAACATATCCTTCAAGGCTCAGATCAATTCCCTCTTCTTACACTAGCCCTTTGCCTGTGGTATTACAGAATATTAGAATTATAAAGTGAGCAGATCACCCAAGCTCAAGCTTTCAAGACCAGCCTGGGCAACATGGGGAAACCTCATGTCTACCAATAATAATTATATATATACACACACACATGGAGTTCAAAGTATTTCAGAAATATCTTGTCAAATTTCTCCTTTTTATTGTAATAAAATATAACATAAAATTTGCCATATTAACTAATTTTAAGTCCATAACTTAGTGGCATTAATTACAGACACAATGTTGTGCAACCACCACCTCTAGCTATTTCCAAAAATTTTTCATTGCCCCAAACAGAAGCTCTGTACCCATTAAGCAATAACTTTAATTATTGCCTCCCCTAGTCCCAGACAACCTCTAATCTACTTTCTGTTTCTATGACTTTGCTTATTCTAGGCACCTCACATAAATGGAATGATTCAATATATCTCCTTTTGTGTTTGGCTTATTTCACTTAGCATAATGTTTTCAAGGTTCATCCATGCCGTAGCATGAATCAGAACAGCATATTTCATGGCTCATTAATATTCCATTAAATGTGAATACCACATTTTCTTTATCCATTCTTCTTCTGATGGACAACTGAGTTGTTTTTACCTTTTGGATATTGTAGGTAACGATTAAAACATTTGTGTACAAGTATCTGTTTGAATACCTGCTTTTGATTCTACACCTAGGAATAGAATTACTGGGTAGTGTACACTGGGTATACTGGATTTTACTGGGTAATGTATGCTGGATGATTCTATATTTAACTTTTTGAGGAACCACCCAACTGTTTTCCATAGCGACTATACCATTTTACATTCCCCCCATCAATGCATGTAAAACGCTCATTTTTAAGATGAAGAACCCAAGGGCAACAACAGTGAGACAGCTTGACCACAGACACAGGGAGTCAGCTGCACTGCACAGCTTGACATCAAAAAGCAGGTATCTTGACTCTCAGTGTAGACATACCCTCTTTCCAAGGTTAAATCCACTAAGATTTAAACCACATGATCAGGCAAATGGCTGGAATGTCTACACAAAGACTGAGTCATTACAAATAGATCTCTTGATAAATTTAGAAGAAAGAATCTGAATAAGTTCTAGACTCTTTTCTCCATCATAAAATGTGGTTTTCTTTATCCTTTTCTTTCTCAGGCCTAGGCTCTAAAAGAAGATTAGATCATATTTTTTAGTCTGGTACCTAATTATAGGATAGTCAGAAAACTACAATTCTAAAATAACAGCTTAAAAAATTCCTTGAAATGCAACACATATTTATTTCAGAAAAACTGAAAAACTCAGAAAAGTAGAAAGAAAAAAAAAAGCACCCAGAGAACAGTTAACCAGAAAAATGACTATTAATTTTTACCTTTTTTTCAAGACTTTTTTTTTCTTGGAATGGTGTTTTTGTTTCATATGTATTATTGGAATTACAAAATCTTAAAGCTTAAAACAATTATTATAATTTTGGGGTGAAATTTAAAAATCGCATAAGGAAAAACAGATATTAAGTTCTACATTTCGTTAGTACGATATTTAGTTAGTACTTCTTCCTACCAACTTACAGGCCTCATAGTCTGGTGACAGTTTTGGGTGGAGTGCTATTACTTACCTTTCCACATGGAAATGTATGATTTATTTAAACATAACACCTGCAGGGGCATGGCCACACACTATACTATTTTGCTTTTTCTTCCATGCCTCATATGATGCCACACATACAACAGATGCTCAGAAAAAAAGCATTTGGATTATTTTTACTGATTTCATGCCATTATTAAGGTTAACACCCCTCAGAATCTCCATAGGCAGTAGCCCAACCCAGGCCCGGCAGGGCCATCTTGGCGATTTTCACATTCCAAGAAACTTGCTTTAGTAATCAAAGATACTTTAAAAGTTATTTGAATCTTTACTTTCATTACTTTAAGAATATTAAACAGAATTCAACTGGTAACCGATAATAGTATTCTTAAATCCTTCTTGGTCCCATTATTCTTTTTTTCCTCCCTTTTCTTTTCTCCTTTCATTCTTCTTGCTTCAGTATGTCTCAAGTTCATGACTGACTTAAAGCCCTAGTCTCAAAATTTCTACCAAAATTCTCTCTGAACTTGATGCCTTGTAATTTTTGGATTTTCTTTTCTTACCCTTTCCTTTGACTTCTATTCCTTCTCCCTCCCTGACAGGAAATCACAGCCCTTGGCATCATCTTGGTACTCACACTTGTTTCTTCACTCAGCCCTTCTCTCCTCGGTCACTGATTCTGCTCCATGAGCAGTCGGAAGTGGAGCTGGCAAGCTCAACCTCTCAGCAGGAGACACGGGAGTCAGGGCTAAAGGGAGGAGAGAGGAGAAGATCACAAATGCTTATCCTGTTATATCCTTTCTTTTATTTTCATTACACAATGAAATTTAATATAATACATATTAGAGGTGGGCTACATGAAAGGTCTCTGGAAAAAATACGTGGGGAAGGGGAAGGGTAAAATAACGAAATTTTCTTTGAGCAGGGAGGACACTGCCCATCCACCCTCCCCTCTTTAGGGTGTCACCTTGACAACATAATAGTTCTGACCTTTTGATTTTACATGCAAGGTCATGGGCCTTCTGACCTTTGAAACTGTGAACACTTATCTCTGGGATTTTGCTGAGGTCTCTCATAGATATAATGATGGGTGTAATGAGATATCACACAGTATACCCTTTTGTCTCTCATAGAAATAAGAGCTTTTAATTATTCTTTTACTTTTCTGTATCAATTTGTGTAAAAATCTCCAACTTTATAGTTGCTTTTGTGTTTTCTTACATGCATGTTATCTCTGATAATGCTTATCCAATGTTAAAATTATGTTCTCTCTCTCTTCTACATTGGGAAAGAGGGTCCTTTTGTTAGAAGGGCTATTTTATTTCTCTAACACTATGATGACCCTCCCAAAATCATTTTACCTAGTTAGCTAGAGTTCTTATTTCCTCCCTTTCCTCAGTCCAAGTGTTATAGTAGGTAGCTAGTCAGACATGAGCAGGCAGGGGAGGACCCCCTGCCCCCCTAACCAGGAATGTTAGGCAAGTATCAGGTGATAGTCAAGCAATTGTTAAAATGGTCTCTCTAAGATAATAATTGGTTGCAGCCAGGGCCAGGGAAAGGCAGTCAACCAACAGACAAAAAACCTGAAACTGGTGATCTTCCCAATAAGATCTCAAGAATTGGGTGAGTGGGCTCAAGCATGCACATTAAGAGGCAAAATGGCAGAGTTTACCTGGTAGATGGCCTTCCTCTAGGAAGGCTAGACTAGTAAGGGGAAAACGCCTCAAACGAGCATGTGTGCAATTCCAGTAAATACAGTATATGTATGGCCCATCCCAAATGCCATAGGCCACTGCATAGGCAGACAACACCCCCTTCCCCCACCTGCCGGGGAAGAATCAAGGCAGAGTGATGCAGACCCCAGAAGAATGTCAACATATAAAACTCAAAGTCAATGGTCAAACAGTACACTTGATCTCTCAAGTTGCCCGCTTGGCCCCCTTCCAAATGTACTTTCTTTCATTCCTGCCTTAAAGATTTTTGATAAAATTTCACTCCTGCTCCCAAAGTTGCCTCATTCTCTCACTCTTGTTTTATGCCCCTTTGTCAAATTCTTTCTTCTGAGGAGGCAAGAGTTGAGGTTGCTGCAGACCCATATGGATTCACCACTGCCAACACAAGTAATACTCAAAATGCATGCAGCATTCCTGGGTGAGAGTGAACTTAGGGAGCACCCAATAGTGCTTACTTCCCTCTTGATCCATGTAGATACCAATAGATGATCACTGAAATGCTGTATTCAATTTGGCTAACTCTGTATACGTTCCTGAGGGAGGCTGCTATGAGAGATTCAGAAATGACTGAAAGATAGTAGGACAGAATTCAAAAAGGTGGGTGAGTATTCCAAGATATGGGATGTGAAACTACCACTCACCCAGTTGCTCAAGTCACAAATTAAAGAGCTTAATTTCTCTTTTCCTCAGCCATCATATCCAATTGATGTTACTCTCAATCCACATCCTAAATCCATTCACTTCTTCCATTTTCACCACTTCTACCCCAGTTCAAGCCCCCAGCAATAGCCTCGTAACTGGTCTGTTTCTACTTTTATTCCTCTATAGCAGCTGGTGTGATTTCTTTTTTTTTTTTTTGAAACAGAGTCTCACTCTGTCTCCCAGGCTGGAGTGCAGTGACACGATCTTGGCTCACTGCAACCTCCGCCTCCCAGGTTCAAGCAATTATCTGCCTCAACCTCCCGAGTAGCTGAGATTACAGGCACCTGCCACCATGGCCAGCTAATTTTTGTACTTTTAGTAGACACTGGGTTCACCATGTTGGCCAGGCTGGTCTTGAATTCCTGACCTTTCAATATACCCCCCTCGGCCTCCCAAAGTGCTGAGAATACAGGTGTCAGCCACTGCACCCAGCCCCTGGTGTGATGTTTTAAAAAAATATATAAAGCATAAGGTGACTTGCCAACTCTCAAATGACTTCCCATCACATTTTGTTGTGTTGTTCCTGTTCCTTCTGTACATCACATTTAAAATAAAATCTAAATTCCTCATCTGAAAAGGCCCAGATCTCCCCTTATACCTCTCTGTTCTTGTTCACTGAGCTTCAGGCTCACTGGCTTTCTGTTTCCCCAACACACCATGCTGGTTGAAATGTACTTTCCTCCTGGTTTTCACATGGCTCCTTCTAAGGACTCAGTTTAACTGTTACCTACTACAGAGGACTTCCCTGACTACTTATTCTGAAGTCACTACCCAGCTGTACATCACATTGGTGTGTTTTCTCAGCATCACACTTATTTCTAGTTGTTTCTTTTGTGTGTGTATGTGTGTGTGTGTGTGTGTGTGTGTGTGCGCTCAACTGCTCAATTTTTGTTGAATGAATGGACTGGTAAGCCCTACTCCTCCATTTTTTAGATGAGCAGCAGAAAATACTGAGTAGGGGTTAAGAATCTAACAACTTTCATCCTTTTTTAACCTTCTCCACAACAGCAATGTTATCTTTTGTCAATTTCTCTGTCATGATTGCAATTAGACTTTTGCTATGGAAAGTGACTATGTTCAGAGGCAGCAAAGAGGAATGGTCTGGAGACTTGCAACTCACTCCATATGTAGATTTAAAGACATAAGAACACTAAAGGATGGGGGTGGAAAGCAGTGACTTTCAACAGAGAAATAAAACAGGCTGAGTTCCTATAGCCTCCTACAGAGAAGAAACAAAAAAAGTCAAAGCAGGAGCTAATAAATAACCTGGGACTTAACACTGGAAAGGCCCGTGAGGCTTCCCCACATGCCCCTTACAAAACCTCTGAACTCACATCTTTCCTCTTCCTACTGTCCTCATAGCACAATATAATCCTGCCTAGAACTGACACTGAAAACTCACATAACCACCTCTCATCAGCTCCCCCACTCCCTTTCTGAGAAATTATCCTTAAAAACTTCAGTCCACACAGAACTTTTTCTGATCTAATTTTGAAAATCCCAACTGCACTGGATTTCATTGTTCTCTGCTTATTTTTTGTTTGTTTGCTTACTTTTTGAGATAGGCTATCATCACTACTCAGGCTGGAATGCGGTGGTGAGATACTGCTCACTGCAGCCTCAACCTCCCAGGCTCAAGTGATCCTCCCTCCTCAGCCTCCTGAGTAGCTGGGACCACAGGCACATGCCACCATGCCCGGCTAACTTTTTATTTTTTGCAGAGATGAGATCTCACTATGTTGCCCAGGCTGGTCTTCAACTCCTAAGCTCAAGCAGTCCTCTTGACTCAGAATCCCAAAGTGCTGGGATTATAGGTGTTAGCCACCATGCCTGGCCTGTTTGGTTCATCTTGGCTTTTACTTGTTTTATTTTCACTTTTGCTCATCTGAATCTAAGAATCCTATAAGTGTTGAACACAAAATAATAAATTTCTTTTGATTAATTATATAGATTCATACTCTGTCTGCAGTTTGTACTATAAAGGAAGAAACAAGAAGGAAAAACCTAACAGTGAGGGAAGAAGAAGGTGCAAAAAATTAGGGGCTCTAGAATACAAGGGAAAGGAAGCAGAGGCACAGAAATGGGGAAAATACCCAGCAAATCAGCTTTCATTGTGAAAACTTAATCACAGTTTATAACATGTTATCAATCTGCTAAAATGGAAGTTGACGGGAAATTGGCAGGAATGGAAATGGACACAGGCCAATTTGCTCTCTTTTGTTAAATCTCTCCAGTGCCTTGCCTTATTTGCAACCACTTCAGTCTCAAAGCCAGGCAGATTCTGATTCTTTCGTTATGCAAATATTGATTTATTAACAGACTAATTCATACATAGAAGATAATTATCTGTGCACAACAAGCCAGATGAACCGTCCTCTGTCACCTGTTTCTTTTAAAAAATGAATCAAAATTTACTATGGAATATAAGCAAATCTCACTGAGAAAACATGCAATCTCTATATATTTTCACAATGATAACAGCAGCTTTTACCATTCATATTTAGAAACCAACTCACATTTTTCTCCTATCAACATTTTAAATTTTATTGTTCTATTTTGGGGGGCAGGGGTATAATTTTTTTCAATTGTGGTAAAATATATATAACATTAAACGTATCATCTTAGCCATTTTTACATGTACAGCTCAGTAGTATTATGTATATTCAAACTGTGTATAATCATCACCCCCATCCATCTTCATAACTCTTTTCATCTTGCAAAATTAAATTAATGCTCTGTACTCATTAAACAAAACTCCCCATTCTTCTCTTCCCAGCCTTTGGTAACCACCATTCTATAATACTTTCTGTCTCTATGGGTAGAAACCAACTAACTTTCAAAGGACTCATTGGTGTCTTTTTACAAGGCATATAGACTTGTGCTATTCTCTATTGTTTCCTAGCACCTAGCATAGTGTCTGGTACATGTCATGTGTTCAATAAATGTTTGAATATTGACTGAGTAAATGATAGTTCCAACTTCTGGTCTACCCTCAAGTGACCCTAAGTTAAAGACTCAGACATACAGGAAATACAGGTTGGATGCAAAGAGAACATTATTGATGGGAAGGACACCAGCATTCTGCTGCTGTTTATCTCCACCCAAAATTCATTCCACCAATATAAACTGAATGCTTCTATATGATGAAAGTGCATTAAAGCCTCAGATACAAAGATGAACACATAGACTGTGCCTCCAATGTGTGCTTTCCCATGATCACTTCATAGCATTTATCACATTCTAGTGTAATCATCTATGTATCTGCCCTGCCACTATACTGTAAGCTGGGCCAGGACATTGTCTATCACTGAGTAAGCACTCAATAAATATTTGGCAAATCATCTAATGGAGACTGTAGCCCACTGTGGGGAAAAACATGCACCATCATACAAAGTCAGGATCCTTAGTTGTATGAAAGAAAAGCTGCTGACTCTTGCCAAAATAGAAAAGAATTATATTGAAGATATTGGGTAGCTCTCAGGTGTGTTGGAAGGTGTAGAGATTTAGGACTGGGGCCAAGCCTCCAGGAATAATGCACAAAAGTACTGCAGAACTAGCCCAATGGGAAAACTATCACCATTGCAACTCTCCATCAATACCGCTATTACATTAGAAACTCAATGTTACAATCAGTGAGGAACTAATTTCACTGCTAGTGCTGCCAACAAATCCAACGCCTGGCTATTAGGGCTATTCATACCAGCAAGTTAAGGAGTTCCATAATGAGCCACTTTCCTCTGATTACTCATACCTGAATTTAAGTTTACTATGGATGAACCTGACTGGCAAAGCCTAGGTCATATTTTTGAGCCCAATTGTAATGAAGTCTGGAAATCTGAGTTCTAAATAAAAGAAAGCAGGCTGGGCATGATGGTTCATGCCTGTAATCCCGGCACTTTGGGAGGCTGAGGCAGGTGGATCACATCAGATCAGGAGTTTGAAAACAGCCTGGCCAACATGGGGAAACCTCGTCTCTACTAAAAATAAAAAAATTAGCCAAGCATGGTGGCACATGCCTGTGGTCCCAATTATGCAAGAGGCTGAGTAATCCTGTGAACCTGGGAGGCGGAGGTTGCAGTGAGCCGAGATCGTGCCACCATGCTCCATTCTGGTGACAGGGCAAGACTTTGTCTCAAAAGAAAAAAAAAAGTAAAGTGACTCCTATGACAAAAATTCAATAGCAATATGCAACAGGCATTAGGCCAAAAATATACATTCACTTTTTTATTTTCACGAACTTATATTCTTGTAGGATAGACAAAAACACATAAATGAACACAATGATGGACAGCACTAGATGCCACAAAGACAAGCAGAGCTGTAAACTAGGGAATTCAAGAAGAGTTTTTCTCGGACTAGCATAGTCTTGAAGGATGTGAGGAAGCAGAAAGTACAGAGGCTCTGGGAGGGGAACTGACTGGATGGACATTTCTAAATGCTGCAAGGAGGCTGCAACTGAGTAGGTGAAGAAGAGGGTAGAAAATGAGGTGGAAAGGGCAGCCATGGACCATGTCACATAGGCCTTAGACGCCATGGTTTTGGACTCTGTGAGGTGGCAAGGGAAGAGCATAATCTGACATTTTAAAAGAATCACATTGGCTGCTATGTGGGGAATATTTTATAGGGAACAAGGGTAAAAACCCATCTGATCAAAGTATGAGCAGAAGGATCCAAGCACTAAAATCTGCCCAGATGGCTGGGGAGATGAGATATGAAGGGAATCTTGCCACAGGATTGGAAACTGCCCAAGAGCAGAGGTTAGAGGGCATCTTAGGCAAAGTGAAGAACAGGAACAAGAACACAGGGGCATGGAAGGCCCCAGCATATTTGGAAAACTTTGAGTGGTCTGGTCAGGTTACAGAGAGGGATCCAGACATGAGGCTGGAAAGGAGGAGAGACTAAATGGCCAAGGGCTGACCGTACTGCTCTTTTAACTTTTCACATCACCAAAGTAAAATGTTGGTACAGTGACAGGGGCTGACTCCGAGGTACACCTGGGGCTACAACTTCCCCTGGGAGGAAAGTCCTCCCAACAGAGGTCCTAAGAGAGCAAGAAGGCCACACTTCCTTGCTCTTTCCCCTGTCCACAGAGTAGAAAAAACATGGGCAACCCACAGTACTGAACTGTTAGTATCAAAGAAAGCTGGGCACACTCATTCACTGTGGTGCGGCAATCAGATAGCAGAGATCTGAAGGTATCTCCATCAGGTCAGTTCCCAGGAAAAACTGCCCAAGTAGATATCTTGTTTTCCACACTGTCTTAGTCCATTTCTGCTGCTATAACACAAATAACTTAAATGTACTACTTTATAATCAAATTTATAAACAATAGAAATCTATTTGTGCCAGTTCTGGAGGCTGCGATGTCCAGAGATCAAGACATCAACAGATTTGGTGTCTGGTGAGGTCCCTGTGCTTCACAGATGGCTTCTTCCTGTTGTGCCCTCACAGGGCAGAAGGGTGAAACAAGTTCCCTCAGGCCTCCTTTATAAGGGCACTAATCCCATGCATTAGCAACCAAATCACCACCCAAAAGCCCCCTATCTTTTTTTTTTTTTTCCCTTGAGACAAGTCTCACTCTGTCTCCCAAGCTAGAGTGCAGTGGAGTGGTCTTGGCTCACTGCAACCTCCACTTCCCAGGTTCAAGCGAATCTTTCTCCCAGGCTGGAGTGCAGTGGAGTGATTGCGTCTCATTGCAACCTCCACCTCCCAGGTTCAAGCGATTCTTGTGCCCCAGCCTCCTGAGTAGCTGGGATTACAGGTGCGTGCCACCATCCCCATCTAATTTTTTGTAGTTTTAGTAGAGACCCGATTTCACCATGTTGGTCAGGCTAGTCTTGAACTCTTGACCTCAAACGATCCACCCTTCTCAGCCTCGCAAAGTGCTAGGATTACAGGCATGAGCCATCACACCTGGCCAAGCCCCACATCTTAATATCATCACCTTGAGGATTAGGCTTCAACACATGAATGTGGTAGGGATATACACATCCAGACCTCTTATTCCGCCCCAGATTCCCAGGCTATGAGTACACCGTGCCTTAAAGCAAGTACTAGCTGTGGGTTGGTGAAGAGAATGGAGGAGGGCGTTCCAGAAGGAAAAAACAACATATGCAAATGCCAGGAACCAGAAAGCACCAAGGCTGGAAAGACAGGTTGAGCCTAGACTGTGAAATGCTTAGATAATGGGGTAGTCACCAGAACGGTTTATTCCTAAACCAGATTCACCAGTTAAGTAACCAAAACCGAAATGTGCAGTGCTTGTTTTTTGTCCATAATAGATGCTGGGAAATATTTGCAGATTGGCTGATTGAATCCACAGACGGAAGTCTGTGTAAATTCAGGGCAGATTGTCCCAGTTAATCACTATGACCAGTCAGACCTCTGTAATGATGGATTTACCTGACACGAGAAAGTTCCACCTCTCATAACAGCTTTGAGAACTTAACTGCAAGGAGGCCTTTATGTGATGAAATCCGGCTCAGGTGCCAAAGATCTCCAACATTAAGACCTTTGCAGGTGGGGATTCACTGTGATTTTAGGCACCCTGGATCCTTCCGTCTTCTACCTCAGCTAAGGGTTCCCACCCAAGCCAGCACTCAGCCTTTGTTACTCACCTGCATCAGCCACAGGTCGCTACCTGTCACTTCAGAGTTCTGGGCACAATCAAAATGCAGACCTTACAAGCACTGCAAGTCAAGACAAGTTGAGCAGCATGGGCTCCAAGGCTTTAAGAGGAACTCGGCCAAAAATTGTTCAAAACTGGCCATTTCAACCGAACTGGGACAGCGGGGCCCAGGGAGAGAAGGGGCTGATTAGATTAATGCAGCCCCCCGCTCTCCGTGGCTCTACTGTATTTCGGTGCGAGTTGCTACCAACTCCAGCGCGGGCCCCCACCCGCCCACTACACTAATCTCGTCTTATCCAGAGATAACAAGGAAAGGAACCCGTGGAGAAGATGAGGTACAACTGGGATAAGGAGAGCGTGGGTGTTTTACGTTTGAATTTAAGAAACAAATCTGTCGAGCTGTTTTTCTTCACTTCCCGCTGGGTCACGCGAGTGGGAAGCTCCAACCGCCCAGGACTCTTTAAGAGTGAATCGCATCCCCTCAAGTTCCTCTCCAGGACCTCCCCCTCCTGCTGCCCCCGCCCTGCAGCTCCACCCTCTCACTCTGAGCCGCACGCACCCTTGTAAGCTCCCTGCCAGCAAAACTACTCTTCAAAGACTTCCTTCCGGGCACTGCGAAGCCCGCGTGGTTAGCATTCGGAGAGGCTGCGGCGCTCGCCTTCATCTAGGACAACAAAACTGCCATTTCTGAAAAGAAAGGAAACAGCTTCTGGGGTTCCCAGGCGCGCGCCTGCGAGGGAGGCGAGGCCGGGAGCCGCGTCGCCACGCCCAGAACCCCGAGCCCGCCCCCGCGCCACCCCGCCCGGCCTTGCCGCTCCGGCTGCGCACGCGACGCCCCCTCCAGGCCCAGCTCTTGCGCCCTATTTGGTCATTCGGGGGGCAAGCGGCGGGCGGGGAGACGTGCGCCGCCTGAGGGGACGCGGAGCCGGCACCGGTTACGCAGAGGAGCCGCTCTCGCTGCTGCCTCCGCGGCTGGGAACTCACGAGGCCGCCGCATCCTGCCCTTGGAACAATGGGACTCGGCGCGCGAGGTGCCTGGGCCGCGCTGCTCCTGGGGACGCTGCAGGTGCTGGCGTTGCTGGGGGCGGCCCGGGAGTACAACGCAAGCTCGGCGGGTAAGTAGCAGAGGGGGTCGCTCGCCCCCTTCGTGGGAGGCAGCGCGCTGCCGAGGCTTGGGTTCCCAAGTTGGGCTCTAGTACAGAAAGTTTGTGTGTCTCTGGCCGAACACACGGAGGGGACCCGGAGGTGACTGGGCGGGCCAGGGAGAAACTGAGACTTGGGCCGGCCTCCCGCTGGCTCCGGGGCCGCCTGCTGAGGAAATTCCCGGGCTCTTTCCCTCTCGCTTTCTGGAAGCGGCGGTCGCAGGCTGGGACGGTTGCGAATAACCTGTTGAGTTACCGCAAGTTGGTTTTTACAGCCATTCCCTGAAGTCAATGTTTACTGGGGTTAGAGTTTATCTAAGGCTTCCATTTGTAAACAAGATTAGCTGAGTTGAGAAATATGTCTACCGAGGCCCGCGGAAACGTCTCTCAGTTAGTTGGGGAGCCTTTCAAGCGTCTCCCCGGCATTTTAACGTCTACGATTGTGCAACATTATCTAGATGACTTACGGTCTTAAGGTCCTCCTGACGCTCGAAGTTAGACCTCGGGGCTCTTGAAGCTAGTTGGGAGCTTTTGGGGAGCGCGACTCGCCCTCGCGGCAGTTGACGCCGCCGCCCCCCTGGTGGGGCGCTTTCCGCGCCTCGCGTACAATAAACACCCGGCCGCGGCGCGCGTCAGCTGCGCAGCGTTAAGGGCACAGCTGCACGGTCGCAAGGGGCCCACCACGTCGCTAGTAAGGTCGTCACAGGATGATGTTGACATTGCTCTTCTGTGTGGGGCAGAATTTGTTTCCTTTTAGGCCCTTGGCTTTTTGGAGACTTCAAAAAGCCCTTTTTGGATGAAACCAGGAAGCTGGGATTTGCTGTGTAAATTCTGTTTTCCTTGGTCAACTGTTAAGTCAGGTCCCTAGGGTAGTGGTCAGTAAACTAGGAAAAGTTAACTTCAGGTGACCTAAGGCTTTCATGGTTTTAAATTCTATCCATCCACTGTATATTTAGCCTTAGGTTGGTTTTATTCAGCAAGAGAAAAGGCAGTTGTGAATCCGGAAGGTTCAGGCACATCACTTGCTTTTGCTGGAATAATCTGGGTGAATTGATTTTTGTTTTGTTGAAGTTTTTTTTTGTTTGCTTAATTGTGCATGTGACAAACTGGCTTTCCAGACCTAATTTTGAGATCATTTCAGAAAATGGTAAAATCATGTCCATCGAGGATCTTGGTGCTAATTTTAGACCACTTATTTCATGAGGTGAGGTCTTCATTTTTTAAAATTTGTTGCTATGTTTGTGAAAATAAATCTTACTGTTTCTCCAACGATCAGAGAAACTGTGAGTGACCATGCTTTTTTCTTTTGCCCTCATAACACCGATTTTCTTTTGCCCTGTTTTAACTCGCTGTTCTGTTTATTACTTAATGTCTTACTAGAGGTCAGTACCATTTGGAAAACTTAAAATGCTCTGCAGTAGGAGAGCCCTGAGTTCATGAACTAGTATAACCAACCTGAGGTGGAATCTCAGAATAATGTCACCTTGCAACTAGACTAAAAGAAGGTACGACAGAATATTTCTCAAAAAAGCAAGGAACTGTTATCCTAGTCTTCAAATATAGTGTCATCTGTATAAAATGTCATTATGAAGTGTAGTGATTTTTAACATACTAAAACTAATATGGCTAATTTTTACTGCGTACATTTTCTATGCAACCCCACGCAATGCTAATTTAGTTCCCTAAATCATCCCATTGGATCTTCACAGTTATTATTCCCATTTTATAGATAAGTAAGCTAATTTATGGAAAGTGAAACGATTAATACCTGTTTGGTTTCAGATCAGAATCCAAATTTTCTTTTTTTTTTTTTTTGAGACGGAGTTTCGCTCTTGTTACCCAGGCTGGAGTGCAATGGCGCGATCTCGGCTCACCGCAACCTCCGCGTCCTGGGTTCAGGCAATTCTCCTGCCTCAGCCTCCCGAGTAGCTGGGATTACAGGCACGCGCCACCATGCCCAGCTGATTTTTTGCATTTTTAGTAGAGACGGGGTTTCACCATGTTGACCAGGATGGTCTCGATCTCTTGACCTCGTGATCCACCCGCCTCGGCCTCTCAGAGTGCTGGGATTACAGGCGTGAGCCACCGCGCCCGGCCGTAGAATCCAAATTTTCAATTAACCATTTCACCACTAAGCCACATTTGGTGATGATAGCTCTTAAAGTAGATACGTAATGCTTTTATTCCACAGTACTACCATTGCCTAGAATATTGTGGGAGAAGATAAAAGCATTATTAAAATTCTACTTTTAAAATATTCTTCACAGTCTGCTGCATAGCTTTATAAATACCATCAGTTGAAGGAGGAGGGAGACTATGAACAAGTTTGCAAATCAGCAAACGATTTATTGTAGTAGTCCAATGAACAAGGTTAACAGGATGGGAGGGGAGGCTATTAGTCATTACTCTTAGTGGCAAGTAACAGAAACCCACTTTGAACAATCTTAGTGGAAAGAAGGAACCTTTTGACCATTGTAACTGAAAATTGCAAGGATTGAGGTGGCTTAAAAATTGCTGTATTCAAGATTTCAAATAAGTTGCCAAAAAATTAAGAAATCATCGCATAAGAGTGACAAGAGCAGGGCCACAAAAACAGGCTTTTGTGTTAGTGCAGGCAAAAGATGATAGCAATGGAGATAAAAGGGTGGATTCTAGATCTGTTGGGGTGGGTGGAACTAATCACTTGCTGATGGATTGGAGGGTGGGATGAGGAAGAGAAAAGAATCAAAGGATGACCTTCATTTTGGAGTTGAGCAGCTGGTAAGGCAACAATTGGGAGGGTTAGGGGGAGAAGCAGGTTTATAGTAGAAAATCAGTAGTTCCATTTTGGCACTCATGTCTGCAGGCTTAGGAATCAAACAGCCTGTTCCAATTTCAGACTCTGCCACTTTCTATCTGGGTGGCCTTCTCTGGGCCTCAGTTCTTGTCTGCAAAACAATACTCCTAAGAATTTTTGGGAGGGTTAGATAGCTAATGCACATAACCCTGGCTTGTGATAGGCACCTAATGATGTTGGCAATTATTTGATACCTGCTGCTGAATACATCTATGTAGTCTATTGACCTTGATCTTTTTTCACTGTATCCTTTTGTGATAAACAGATGGTAGTCCCATCAAGAAGAAGAAATTCTCACAAGAAAATTTGCCCAAGAAGGAAAGATGAATCCTTCAAAGTTATTGCTTTTCTTTGTACTTTGAGGATTTTTAAGTGGGGGAGAGTTCATCTTTGTGAAAAGGACCCAATAATGTATTTGCTGTCTTCCTTTGTCGTATGCATAATCTTCATTACACAAAGACTCAAAATGAATAAACCGCTCTGAAAAGTTGCTTAATTGGGACATAGAAATCTCTTATGTTTTTTCCAAATCTAAAGATACTAGTTTAAAAATTAAAATGGTACTGAGAAGGCTTGCAGTTAGATGAGAAAATCCTGTTTATCCCTCCATGGTGTGAAATTAGGGTGTTGGTGGTGCGGGACCTAGAGATGCCTATGAGTACAAAGGCCTCTCTCCTGAAATGGTCCCCTCCACTCAGGAGAGCAAAGCTGTCAGTGCAGAAATTGGCCCATCTGTCCCCAATTGTTCTGTCTTTATATGGGTGAATGAATTTTGGCAAAGCTATTGCATTCAGTGGCTGGTACATAGTAAGTACTATGTAAGTGTTACATAAGCTAGATGTTTTTTATCTTGAAAAACCCGATTATACAGTTTGTTTTACTGAGAGCTTCAAGATATGTTTCGTAACAACAGGGGCAAAAGTAGAACTTACTGTGGAATAATCTACCTTCCCCCACACCACTACCCCGCCTCCCCTTAGGCAGAAAACCACATTGCCAGTATTCTTAAATGTTCTTTCATAACAGGATGTTTCTTTCTTCTTACACCATCTGCAAACATATAGAATTCTGTGCCTCCACACAACTCTAGTGCTAATTCAACAGGTGAGTTTTAAAAGATTAAAAAAATAGATTTTATTTGTCTAGGGTACGTGAAGTAATAACAGCCAGGGAGGTAGGTGTAAGCTGTACACTAACCTGTCTTAACCCCGAGTTATTCACCTGTGAATCCCAATAACCTGCCCTAATGTTCCATAGTAGGTATCCGTAAGTGATAGTTCACTGGATTAATCTTTCTCAGTCTTGTCAAGATGTGAATATATTCTAAAAAAGCATATCAGAATTTCATGTTAGGAGTTTTTGAAGTACATTTTTAGATGTGAGGGTTTTGTAGTTTGCCTGTAGATATGAAATGTCAGTACAGAAGTATGCAGGTCTTGCTGATGAAACAGGTCACATGAAGCTAGTCAGCTGTGGCCTTAATATACCTCTGCTGACTCTAAGGTGACCCTATTTACATTTCACCCATTATGCAGACTTCAACTCAAACAATTGGTGAGGCCCCTTAACCTGTGGTTTTAGTTTGGGACAAAGCCTTGGGCTTCTGAGTTCACTAGCCTGGAATGATATAGGAGCTAAGCTGATGTCCTCAATAGCAGTAGTAAATCATCAAGGTATGTTTCTTGTAAACAATTTTTAGGTTATCTCCTCACTACCCATATTCTTCATAGTTGACTGAGTTGGAAACTAGAAATCCTATCCTATCACTAACCTATCACTATCACTAACTTGTTTACTTTTATTCAGGGAATAGTTATTGAATCTAATGAGCTGTCACATTCTAGGTTCTAAGAATACAAAATGGACCAAGCCCTGACTTCTAGGAGTTTTTGTTTATTTTGTGGCAAAATATACATGACATAAAATGTGTAATTAACCATTTTTTTTTAAGTGTAAAGCTCAGTGGCATTAAGCACATTCACACTGCTGTGGAACTTGCTGGAGTTTTTATTCCTGTGGAGCATTCCAGTGTTTCGCTTAGTTTATGTTCTTAGTTTACTGCAGTTCTTTCGTTTTCTCTGCCTTTTTGACTGGTGTCTGATGGCACATAGTCGGAACATACTTTTATTCTAGTTTTAAGTAATTGTACAGGAAACATTTTCATTGAGAGGAAAAAAGCCTAGATAGATTACTCTATCTTTTTCTTTTTTTTTTTTTTTTTTTTTGAGATGGAGTTTCGCTCTTGTTACCCAGGCTGGAGTGCAATGGCGCGATCTCGGCTCACCGCAACCTCCGTCTCCTGGGTTCAGGCAATTCTCCTGCCTCAGCCTCCTGAGTAGCTGGGATTACAGGCACACGCCACCATGCCCAGCTAATTTTTTGTATTTTTAGTAGAGACGGGGTTTCACCATGTTGACCAGGATGGTCTCGATCTCTTGACCTTGTGATCCACCCGCCTCGGCCTCCCAAAGTGCTGGGATTACAGGCTTGAGCCACCGCGCCCGGCCTATTACTCTAAAATGTAATAGTAGTTGTCACTGGGTAGTTGTGAGAGGGTCTTAGTTAAAAAATATTTTATTACACTATTAGGTACCTTTTCCTTTTGTCCTTTATTGAATCTAATTCAGGACTACTGAACTTTTAACTTTGGATAAACGAAGGGGGTAGAAGAAATGTAATAATGATAAAGACAGTAATATTAACATTAGACAACATTTATTGAATGCCAACAACTTATAAGCTACTCCTCATACATTTACTAATCTAACAGTGGAGATAGGTGTCATTTCTGTTTTACACATGGGGAAATTGAAACTTAGAGTGGTTCGGAAATGGCCAAGATCACATGACACTAAGTGTCACATTCAGGATTTGAAACCTAATTGTATTCTAAAACCTATATCCCTTTATCACACTTTCTGAAATGGTGGTGTGATCTTTTAAAAAATGCTTTTCACTGTGAATGATTATTAAAAAATCAACTCTATATACTCTGAGGGCAGCTCTAGAGTCAGAGGGATGATTTTGGATGCCCCTTCTAGAACAGGGAAATTTTTTTGAGAAAAAAGAAAAACGTTGCCTCAAATTTTTCTAGAAGGAAACCAGTTAATACAACCATTTAAAAATGGTTTTGGTCAATATGTTATAATTCTTATAACTAGGCCGGGCGCGGTGGCTCAAGCCTGTAATCCCAGCACTTTGGGAGGCCGAGGCGGGTGGATCACGAGGTCAAGAGATCGAGACCATCCTGGTCAACGTGGTGAAACCCCGTCTCTACTAAAAATACAAAAAATTAGCTGGGCATGGTGGTGTGTGCCTGTAATCCCAGCTACTCAGGAGGCTGAGGCAGGAGAATTGCCTGAACCCAGGAGGCGGAGGTTGCGGTGAGCCGAGATCGCGCCATTGCACTCCAGCCTGGGTAACAAGAGCGAAACTCCGTCTCAAAAAAAAAAAATAATAATAATAATAATAATAAATAATTCTCATAACTGTTGCATTCCTCTTTGAATCTTGAAAACACTTTTGAAACATGCTAAGTTTGTGTATTTTTATAGGATGGATGCTTAACTTTTTAGTAACATAGACCCTTTCATTGTTGAAGCATTGTTTGTTTGAACATATTGTTTATCAGTTTGTTTGGTGCTGTTCATTTAGCGCAGTTTCTGTGGGGCTATCTCAGTAGGAATATAGCATCTTTGGCAAATTCCGTTATGTATTCCAGGAATGTACTCTTGGAAAAAGCGGCGACTTCCTGCAATACTACTTAGAATGCTGGATGCCTGTCACTTTTATAGGACTCACCATGTTGGAATTTCGGAGACGTTTTTTCTCGTTTGTTTTGGTCTCTAGCTAAGTCCTTGAGAGTGAAATCCATGATTTATTCATTCTAACATCTCACTCTATGCCTGGTGCATAGTAGGTATGCAGAATATGTGTATTTTTGATTGGTCGAACTGAATTGTGGAACGAAATACATATTTTGTAATTGCTGACTTTCCTTATCAAAACACTGTTATATACATTTTGCAGATATGTACTGGTTTGTGCTCCAATCCTGTCCATTATTATAGTTGTTTTTCTGTTTATACAGTAATATAGGTACTTGAAGTCAAACAATGGGAATGGTTGTTCCTTTCCTATATACCACTGAATTATATGTAACAGTTCTACTTTTTTATGACCGCTAATCATTATTTGAGGACAGCTACACTTTTGACATTCTTGTCTGCAGGGACTTGTTAGACACTTTCAGCTTATAGAGAAAATAATTTCCCTTTAATTCATTTGTAGTCAGAGTATTTTATTTTAGATTTTGTGGATGGATGAATTTACTCTTTATAGTGCACGAAAGGCACATACCCAGATTATTTTTCATAATGGGTTTGGGCAAGGATGTAAGGAAATGTGACATGGTCTAGAATGGAGTATAGTAACTTGCACCTGGCTTACATTTAGGTTTCTACAAAAGTTCATCAGTAACTAGAACAGCAGCTCAGTATCATTCAGGATACAGCCGTCTCCTTGATCATCTGGCATTGATGCTTCCCAAGAAAGAGAGATCTGAGAGGGCTGGGTTACCATCATCCAATCTGAAGCTCTTTTCTTGGACATAATTTGCACCAACTCCTTTCCAAAGCAGTTTATCTTCTAATCGTGTATGTTCCATTTATTACGATTGCCATTGGTTTGGTTACTCATCCTTGGTCTAGTCATTTGGCCCACTCTAGTGAAGTTAATTTTATCCATAGACATGGCAGGGATGGGTAGCTGAGAGAGGGTCTTATTTAAGAAACACTTCGTTACACTATTAGGTACCTTCTCCATTTGAATCTAATTCTGCGCTGCTGAACTTTTAACCACAATTTTGAGCACTTGCACCTGGCTTACATTTAGGTTTCTACAAAAGAAGGCAGTCAAAATTCTGTATTCCAATTTTTACTCCCAAATGCAGCAGTGAAAATCTAACTGAAGTGGAAAGAATTTATTAGGTATATAATCCCATATGCCACACTACCTTCTTTATTTTAAATGAAATGTTTTATATGTGAAAAGAATATTAGATGAAAACTTTCTGAGTTTGTAAGTCAAAGACAGGAACCAGTTGGCCTGACAGGTTTCTTTAGTTGCAAATGGTGAGATGGATGGATGGACGGATGGATGGATAGATGCATGCAAATGGTGATAGACAGACATAGAGATATCAATACTGGTTTTTATCTAGAGATTTGATGTAGGAAATAATTTTTCTAACTAAAGAATTCATAGTGCACTTAACTGCTTAAACTCCTCAAAGTTAATTGTGTTCAATTTATGTTTTTGAGATTGCATCTGAAAATTGCTGGTAATGTTTAACATCATCTAATTTTGTTTAAAGGAATGTAATGTGGGAAAATCATGCAATATTATGCTCACTTAATCAGTTAACAGTTATTAGTTTGGACTGCCCACTCCACTGGTCACTATTTAGGCAGAAGACATAAGTGGTAAATAAGATGGGTAAGTTCCTGCTCTCATGAAGATAATATCCAGGTGGAGAGACATGGACTATAAAGAAATAAACAGAGAAGATACTTTTGGATTTTGATGTAAAATAAATAGGACAAGGAATGGTGGCCCGTGCCTGTAATCCCAGCACTTTCAGAGGCCATGGTGGGCAGATCACTTGAGGTCAGGAGTTCGAGACCAGCCTGGCCAACATGGTGAAACCCTGTCTCTACTAAAAATACAAAATTAGCTGGGTGTGGTGGTGCATGCCTGTAACCCCAGGTACTCAGGAGGCTGAGGCAGGAGAATTGCTTGAAACTGAGAGATGGAGGTTGCAGTGAGCCTAGATTGTGCCACTATACTCTAGCCTGAGTGACAGAGCAAGACTCTGTCTCAAAAATAATAATAAGTAAAAAGGGTAAAATACATGTCTATCAGCATGCATAAAGAAGGTAATGTGGAAGAGAATGACTAGGGAAGGGCTGTGGGTAGGTTGGTCAGGGAAGCCCCCTCTGAAGTGGGATTAGCTGAGACCTGCGTGACAGGAAGGAGCTAGCCCTACAAATACTAGGGGGAGGAACATTCCAGGCAGAAGGCCTGAAACAGGACTGAGGAACATA